ATTCTCCTTCGTCTGTGAAGTGTTCCCTGATCCCCTTAACCCTCTGTCCTCTGAGTTCCCCCAGCCTGTTAGCCGACCGTCCCTTGTGAGTCCATCTCTTTCTTCCTTGACTACTTCCCCTACTAGACTACGCTAGAAGTTCCAAAAAGATGTAGGTGGTTTGTCTCCGTGACCCCAGTGCCTAGCACAGGGTCTAGGGTGGAGCAGGGTTAAGTGTATGCTGAATGAGTTGTTCGTAAACACTGTCAACTATGCAAAGCATCCTCACGTCCTTCCACCTGCTCCCACAAGAGTCCTGATGGTCAGCTCAGCAGGCCGTTATCCCATTGTATAGATGAGGCTAGGAGGCCACATGGTGATGCGGAAAGGGCAAGAACTAGCTCCTCGCTGTGTAGTTGAGAGTCCCTCAAAGACTGTGCCTTATCTCCTCTCTCCCCCCACAAACACGGGCACAAGGCAGAGCACTTGATTTGCCTTTTCTAGGCTCATTCCTTGAGTCTAGCAGAAAAATGAGAGACTTCATGGTTGTGAGGGCAGCTCGGGCGAGGCAGCCATGGGCCCTTTCTGGAGTATGGCAGAAGGGGGTGAAAAGGCAAGGAGGTGATCATTACCTTCTTTCTTGTCGAAATCAGCTGCTGGTTGCCCAGCCCCTGACCCTTCCTCTTCCTGAGGCAGCACAGCCCGCCTGGCTCTCTGGGGGGGAAGAAAAAGAAGTTGTTGCAGGGACCTTGCCGCTATTGCTCACCTGTACCCCTGGAATACATAAACAAACCATCTACTTTGGGAATCAGGGTATAGGCAGAAGCACAGCTACTACACTGGTTAATGGACTGTTTTCCCAAATGCATCAACCTGAATTCCGGAAATGGCATCACAGGACAGATTTTTGGTATGGAAGGAAAAATCGGAACCTCAAGGTATAACAATACTTCCATATCCAACTTCCAGTCGAAATACCAAAAGAATAGAATAATGGGAGAAAAATCTAGCCCAGAGTTGGAAACCAGGGCAGGGCAACATTTCTATACTAGAAACTTAAAGGCATTTCTGCACATGGAGTATGGGTGTGACTGATTTGCAGGAAGTGCTGCCTACAAAGGCAGCTGCTTGCAAAGGAAAAGCCATCTAGAGAGTAAGGAGGACCCTAAGACTGCCCCTGACACTCCTAGCTGTGGTGCTGGGGTCTGCAGAGCAGAGCAGGAGGCCTAAGCTGTTGAAGGGGTCTCTGAGTATAGAGTCCCCTGAGGTAAGATCCCAAGGCAATTAAAGAAGGGATAAGAAGGGGAATACTGGCCACCAGGTAGTCCTCCTGCCCGCAAGTAAGACCTGGAATCTGCAAAAGTAAAACTATGGTAACTTTCAACTTTCCCTTCTCCTTTTAAGGTGTAAGTGAAAGCTGTGATCAGGGACTCCGTTGTCCGCCAGAACTCATCTCAAGCTGATAGCATACAGGCCTTCCTTAAAATGAAGGAAAAGAGAAAAATCATGCTCAAAAAAATCAGACTGAGCTGGAGAAATACCTCCACTAAACACGGAATTATAGTAAGAAACAAGAGAAAACTTAAACCATCCATGAAATTCAAGATAACTTTGGATCAATATAACAGACGCCAACAGTTATGGAAATGAATAATACAAGAGAAGTAGAAAGTTACTGGAGATGGAAAAGATTTTGTTGAATTTAACAACACAGTACAGACAATAAATTGCAGTTTAGAGATTAGAAGAAATAAATTCATATAATAAAAATTCTAAAAGGAGAGGCAATATAGAAATAATAGAAGAAAACTTTTCTCAGTTATAGAAAGACTTGAGTTGTCCAATTATAAGAGCTCAAAAGGAATGAGGCAAAATTAATGAAGAACCCTACCTAGACATTTCCTAGAATTAAAAATCCCTTGGAGTAAATTATGACATTTAATGACAGAAGCTGCAAAGCAATATCTTAGGTTATAAGAGGAAAAAGGTGATAACCGAGTGATTCTTCACCCATCCAAGCTGTTGCCCAGGTGATATAAACAGATATTCTCAGACATGCAAGGACCCAGTTTTCCACCCATGACTCTTTCTAGAAAAAAATTTCTTATTGAAATATTCCTACCAATTGAGAAGAGAATCTAAATACAAGAAAATGGATGATGTGATAGCAAATCAATGATGGTGAACTATAAAGCCAATGAAATATAGAGGTAAGATTACATTATTGTTAAAATGGTCATACAGTTTAATGTAAATGTTTAAAAGAGTTCTCAAAGCAAAAGGTAGAAAACAGAAACATCAGTCTCAGAATATATTCACAAAAACAAGGATGTGGGAAGCGTGGAAAGAAGAAATGGAAATGAACTCGATTTCTCTCTTTTGCAAGGGTGTCGTTAGCTATCGTTTCATTCTTGACATTGATAAAGACATAGATTACATTGAGATATGGATTAAGATGGCGGACTGAAATGCCCCTCAAAATTGCCCTCTCCAATACCTAACAATTAGCAAAATGGGAATTCAGAAATACCAGCCCCCAAATCTTCATCAAACAAGGAGAGGGGCACAATTTAAAGCAAAAACTAAAATTGTCGACTGAGGAAAGAAATGCGATATTCTGGAGCTAAATAGGATGGTCAGCAAGGTTCGCTTCCTAACCCTGCCCTCCAACTCCCAGTCCTGGAAAGTCATCAAATTCCCTAATCACCAAATCTTGGGAGAAGAAAATCAAGGGGATCCCTATTTTTCCCCCTCTTCTAGTAGAGCAGCAGTGAAAATGACTAGTGGGAAGAAAAGAAGAAAATAGACCAGAAGCTCTAAGTGAAGGTTCTGGAGCTACACGATCTAATGCTCAGAGGGTGTCACGTGGGACACCTGTGCATCATTGCCAGCCCCACCAGGTGGAATGAAGCCCACATAGGATATTTAGCAGTCCTTCAAAAGAGAGAGCAATACGAGGGTGTTTGCGACCAACCTCCGACTTTGGAAAAGTGGATGGAACACAAAATACCCAGACTTTACACTAAATTTCCCACCAGTCTCAAATTTAGGGAAAAGGGCCAAGAAGTAATGAAACCATCCACCCCACCACATCAGAAAGTCTGGCTAAAACTGACTAAGCAGGAGCAAGGTAAAAGGAAATGGTAAAGAAACTACCCACTTCAGAAATAAATAACTAAACAGACTGAACTAGAGAAAGAGCCTGTCATGAACGGCCTAGACTTCTTCTTAGGAATGGACTTAACATTCCCAGAGGCTGGAAATGCTGCTGTCGACAGCCCTCAGCTGTCAGCCTCTGTTGGAGACTGCTCAGTTAACGGAAGCCTCTTTCTCAAGGTCATGTCCTCTTCCCAGACAGGTCAACCTGGAGGTATCAAGGCCCACCCCTTGGTGCCATCATGGGACAACTCAGAACAGCCCTCCTGGTTCCAGAGCTCCCTAGAGGGTCTGACTGAGGCTTTGTGACTGCATCACAGCTTTACTTCTCCCTCTGCCCAATCCTCCCTTCCCTTCCACAGGTGTTAATCTAGGGCACCTCACTGTAACGCCAACTTAGAAGAAACTCAAGGAGCAGAAGGAAGTTCCTCAATGGCCTCGAGCTATAGAATGACCTAAAAAGAGCATGCATTTAATAAAGCAAAACTCAAAGATAAAATGGTAAGCAACAGAATAAGATGAAAAGAGAGAAGCCAGGCCTAGATACACAAATTGAGAACCAAAACAACAAAAATTCAGAGCTAGTGAATAAATTAGAAATTGTAATTAACAGAATGGATGCTGCTAAATGGAATGACTGTCATAGAAGGAAGGTTGGTGATAATCTCAGTTAAAACAGATGAACGTAATCTGGAGAAGCTAGTGCATGTGGAAGACAAAGATGCACCAGGATTAAGAACAAGTGTTTCCAAGGTGTTGAAACCCAACAAAGGGAACGGAGGATGGATTCCATAACGTGCAAGAGAGTTCCCCGAAATACAGAGGAAATGATCTGTGGATGGAAATAGCATGTGGTATTCCAAAAAGTTTTGATATGGAGTTCTCAACACCCAGACCATCTGTGGATGGAAATAGCATGTGGTATTCCAAAAACTTTTGATATAAAGACACCCAGACATGTCTTTGTTAAGATGTTGACTTCAAGGATAAACTGTTCAGGCATCTGGGCAGAAGAAACAAAGTAATTACAAGGAGAAGAAATATCAGGCTGGCCTCCAGCTTTCCACAGCAATAATCTGTGCTTGAGAACAATGGAGCAGTGCATTCAAAGCTTTTTCTGGGGGAAAGAAAACATGACCCAAGAACATGATGGCAAAACATCATTAAATACGAAGGACACTGGCAGATATCCTCAAGCAGGGGAGAATTCAGGTATTAAAACACTCATGAACCCTCCTCAGAAACACCCCTGGGTAAAGAAATGGCACTAATTAAAAAGATTAATAGAAAGAAATCTCAGGAATGGAGACACTGTGGCCATATTCACTAAGGGTGAGCATAGAATCATTAAAACATAAAACTACTGCTGAACGACTGGCAGTTACGTATGACAGAGCAGAATGGGGACAGCAGTAATCTGGACAACGTCAAAGAAAACGAGGATGGACGATGGAACAAAGTTTGAGAGTGCCAGCGTTGTCTTTCAAATCGTGAGACAATAGATATCCTCTAAAGGTATATCCAGTGATGCTAGCCTAGTAAATGTTTTTTTTCATAACCTTGAATTTACTTAGAGCATTCTAGAAGTTCAAGAAGTCCACTTCTTTTTTAAAAAATTTTCAAATTACAATTAAGGCGTTTAAAAATTAGAAATAGCATCTGTAATATAATGCCATGCGATCACAGTTTATCTAAATCTGTGCATCTGCCTGTCCAAAACCCATTCTCTCTGTCCTTCTATCCACGTGTATGCACGTCAAGATTCCTGGAATGATGTGACTGCTGGTGGATTTTGGGCATTGGAATTTTTTTTAAAAACTTATTATTTTATGTTTTTCTGCTTTGTTTTAATTCTTTATAATGAACATATATTAGTGAGGGGGAGGGAGAGGGAGATTTTTTTTAATGTAGAAGCAAACAAATAATATGTTAACAGTGTTAATTCTATGTAGGAATAAGGACTTTTTTTGATTTCTTGTATTTTTTTCAATTTTCAAGAATATGTTTCTAAATAAATGTTATATATAGTTATACACACAAATATAGATATATGCACACATCAATAGAATAAGTTAGGATATATAATTTTCCAATCAGAGAAAACAATCAGAGGAAAAAAAGAATGACTAAAGCTTAATCAGTATGGCGAAAAGCAGGAAAATAAAACAGGAGTAAGGAAACGAAAAAATCAAACGGTAGCATGGGAGAAGACATAGTTTGAGAAATCGCTTGCTCTTCGGGTTTGCTGTTTTTTAGAAAGATCAGTTAATTTTATTTTCATTTATTGAGTATAGTTATTTCATTAAGTGTTTTACTGCTATTAGGCACCATGCTAAGACTTTTTCCATTATGTCATTGAATTCTAGCACTTGGAAGGGCAGTGTAATTACCCCATTTCACAGATGAGGAAAGTGAGGTCCAGATGGAGCAAAACTAGCTTAAATCACAGAACCCAGATTGAGCCCAAGTGGGTCTGACGTCAAACCCATGCCCCTCACTGCGTTCCCTCAACCCTTCTCAGAGACTCCACCGACCACCACAGCAGGACCTAAGCAAGGGCAGCAGAAACCAAGAGGGCAGGGTGGGGATGGATGGGGGGAAATGGTACTCACCGGGAGTGAAGTGGGCTCTGGTTCCTGCTCCCCAGGGACACACTCTCCTAGGTCAGAGGACAGGAGACAGGTGAATAAGAGGGCCACGCTTAGTGGTGGGGCGGGGGAGGCATCCTAGACTAGAGAGGGCTTTGCTGCTTTCATAGTGCTAATGACTACGTGCCAGGTGGGCATCATCTCTCTGGGGACTGTCTTGTGGGTTATCCTACTTCATGAACGGCTCCACCCACATGGCTTGCTGAAGGTCATTCATTAGAAAGGTGACAGACTGGTGGCTGCACCATCATCACCATCTGTGTCATTTCTGCCCCACCGTTTCATTAGCACCATCCCAAGAACAGCAATGGCGAACATTTGTTGAGCACTTACCAGACACCAGGCACAGAGCTATTGTATTTAACAGTTTTATCTCATTGGCTCCTAACAGCAACTTACAAAGGAGGAATTATTGTCCCCATTTTACAGATAGGGAAAATGAGGCTCTGGAAGGCTGACCATCCAGAAGCCACACAGCTCAATTTGAACCTAGGTGCCATAAGTCTGGAGCCCATGCTCTTAACTTCAAAACTCTATTGCCTCTGAAGAGGTGCCTGTGGATTCCGAATATAACCTCATTTAGACACGTGACAGCAGAGTGAACACTGGATTCATTCTAGCCTGGGCTTTGCCGGGTACACGCTATGTGACTTGGAGCAAATCCGGGGGCCCCAGCTTCATTCTCTTTAAAGAAGGAAGGGGGACTGTAGGCCTGCTGATCTCAGAGGGTTATGAAAAAGGCCCTCTTACAGGGGGCTGGGAAGATGTTCTCTAGGGTCATAAGCATGAGAAGGGAACAGGAATGTGAGGTGGGGAGGGGGTTTCATTTACCTCTGTCAGCCATGGTGAAGATAGAGTCCTCAGGGATGCCCACACCCAGGGCAGTCTCCCGGAACTCCTCCAGCAGGCTTTCCCGAAGCTGCTGCTCCCGCCCTGCCAGTGAGAAGCAGAGAAGAAGCTTAGAACCACAGGCATCTGGCTGACAGGGCCTGAGATTATTTTGCCCAGTGATTTTCATTTTGGGTAAGTTTGAAAACCATTGGTCCAATTTGGTCTCTTCGATACACTTATGGAAAGATCAGTTCTAGAAGAGGAAGAGGTGTCCCTCCTGGGCCCCTACCCACATCTCCCAACTCCCCACACATGGCTGTGTCCACTGGTTCCTTTAAGGGTATGGAGGCTCCAGAATTCTCTGGGTCTGGAATTTAAGAGATCCAAAGAAGAGGAGTCTACCTCCAATGGGAGACTGAGCTCTACCTCCTTCAGGAAGAATAAACGATTTCACCTTTCCCTTAACTGAAGTTTTGTCAGAAGGAAAAAAACAAAGCTCCCTGCTCCTCCCCAGTCCACTATCCCTAAATCACAGGTCTCCTCCCACTCCCAACTCCAGTGAGCTTATCTAGTTCCAGGCCTTTACCATAGAGCTTGGCAGTAATGGTGGGCCCATGGTGGCGATTGAATAATTTCTTGCTCAGAATAATGGCATACTCGTCATAGTTGGTGTGGACCACATAGGACTCTATGGTGATGTTCCATTCTGCACAGAAGAGTCAGGAAGACAAAGGCTAAGTGGTCAGAAGGCTCTTCTAGCCTGAGATCCTTCACCTATTCACCCACACATCATGTATTCAGCCATCCTCTGTTTACATATCCTTCTCTACATTCATTTATCTATTCATCCATCTTCAGTCTCTCTCTCCCTCCATCCATCTATCTCCTCCATATAGTCATCATTAATTTGTCCACTATCATCTATCTATCCATCTTCCCCATATTCAGTCCATAAATTCATCCATTTCCATCCTCCATCCCTCCCTTATCTTCCCCTCTTTTTGTCCTCTTTCC